TCTTCCTTCTGAGGAGTGGCTGGGGGGTTTGAACTGCCAGCATTCTGGTTAGCAGTCAAATGCCTTAGGCACTATACCACCAGAGCTCTTTGATTGTGGCCATAGGGTCAATGTTTTAGTTTCTTGTGGCTGCTGTAACAAAGTGCCACAAATTATGTGACTTGAACAAACAGAAATGTATTCTCTCATAGTTCTGGAGCCTAGAAGTCTGAAATCAAGGTATCAGCAGGATCATGCTCCCTGTGAAGATTCTGGGGAGAATCTTTCCTGGCCAATTCCAGTTTCTGGGAGCCCCAGGGGTTCCTTGGCTTGTGGAAGGCTAACTCAAATCTCTGCCTACTTCTGTGTCTATGTGTGTCCTTTCCTCCTAAGAGGACACCCTATTTGGATTTAGGGTCCACCATAATCTGGTATGATCTCATCTCAATCCTTAACTGAATCACATCTGCAAAGACCCTGTTCCAAATAAGTTCACATTCTAGGGTTCAGGGTAGAGGCTACTTCTGTCAGTCTCTGGGTTTAGGTATCCCAGACCAGAAAATGACCCAGGAACCATGGGTTGTGCATTTTTGCAGCTCTCCTATGTATCCTGTAATTTTGTATATTCTCTCAAATTCCAAAGAACCCTAAAGCACTCAACACAGCCCAATACAGGTAAAGTCAAGGCAAAGAAGGGCACACAGCCAAGTTTTTCATCTCTGCCATTCTGACTCACCTGTTTTGAAATGCAAGTTGGTAATGCGGCACTGGCTGATAACCAAAACCAAAATCCAACCCCACTGCCAAAAAGTCAATTCCATCTCATAGCAACCCCATGGGGTTTCCAAGGCTGTAAATCTTTATGGAAACAGACTGCCTCATCTTTCTCCCATGGAGCAGCTGGTGAGTTCAAATTGTCAACCTTTTGGTTAGCACCCAAATGCCTTAGCCATAGCACCACCAGAGCTTATTGGCTGATGAAGAAAGATAGGGTAAGACCAAAAATCAGCTGCCGGTGAGTTGGTTCCAACTCATGGTGACCCCTGTGTATCAGAGTGGAAATGTGCCCCATGGGATTTTCAGTGGATAATTTTTCAGAAATAGGTCACCAGGCCTTTGTCCTGAGGTGCCCCTGAGTGGGCTCAAACCTCCAACCTTTCAGTTAGCAGCTAGCTCACTCACCATTTGTATCACCCAGGGAATCCTTAAATAAGATCTAAGGAAGTCCTTAGATCAAGGTTTGATTCCATATCCATCATCTAACAGCTCCTAGCCCCTTGGTGTGCTTGCTTGAAAAGCTACCCACCAATCAGGAAACTCTTCCATGTTTACTCAAGCTCCTTTGTTCATATGGTCCATAGCTTTGATGATCGGAGTGAGGTGCCCAAAGAAAAAGGCTATGAGAAAAGAGGAAGCAAAGGTCACCCACAATTCACATTGGATGGGCCCCTAAGTGTACATGAGAGCACTATCCATTTGAAACCACCCTATTGACTCCCCAGAGGACTCGACTCCACTGCTCATCACAGGGCCCTGGGCATGTGAAGTACTTGGGACAGGTGGAAAGTCCTACAGCAAGACAGGACCATACCTCACTGTTCACATCCCCAAAAGTGTGTGGGCCCCAGATATCAAAGGGCCAAAGAGATTACACATAGTGAATGAGAGGCTATAGGCAAATACTGTTTAAAAGGCAGTTGATATTTGAAAAGCAGTGAATTGTGTACTTGTCCTGCAATACTATTGATCATGCTACAGAAATGACCTCTTCTGTTATCTGTTAACTGGACTATGGATTCTATGAGGTTAGGGACTGTAACTGTTGTGTCCACCAATGTCACTGCACTGCTTGGCTGAATGGTCAGCAGTTTGAACCCACCAGTGGGTCTATGGGAGAAAGATGTGGTAATCTGCTTCCACAAAGATTTACAGCTTTAGAAGAAGCCCTACAAGGCAGTTCTATTCTATCCTATAGGATCTCCATGAGTCAGAATTGATCCGATGGCAATGGTTTGGCGGAAGTAGAGAATCCCTGGGTGGTACAAATTGTTTACTAACCAAAAGGTTCTCATTTAAATTCATCTAGAGGCCCCTCAGAAGAAGGGGCTGGCAAACTACTTCTAAAAAATCATGGGCTCCTCCAAAAAGTCACCGCTGTTGAAAACCCTTTGGATATGTTGTGTGGATTGCGGTCAATGGCATGAAACAGAATGTGTATGAATTGTTGAAAGGAAAACTGATCTGCTCTGTAAACATTCACCCAGTAAATCACAATTAATAGTTAAAAAGGAAAGAAAGAAAATCCTGTGGACCACAGTTCTACTCTGACACACCTGGGGTTGCCATTATTGGAACCGACTTGATGGCAACTGGTTTAGGGTTTTGCTCCCCCCCTCAGGTAGGAACGGAGATCAGAGACTTGCACAGAGTCTGATCCTGTTTGGATTTAGCTTCAGGAATGGCATTAGTGAAAGGAAGGAAGCAGTCCTGTTTGCACATTTCCATGGGGTCAAGCCAGGGCTCAGGCCACATCCAGGTGGAAGAAAGCTCCCAGGAGGCTGGGGCCACTGCTGGGCCTAACCGAGATGTTCTGGTTTGCTGCTTTGATGATTACACAAGATCCTGCTCTGTCTCAGAGGGGACTCAAGGGCAGCCTTGACATTGGCGTAGGGTAGCCCTCCAGATCAGAGATGGCCTGCAAACAAAACAAAACTAAACTCACTGTCGTCAAGTCGTCCCCGACTCATAGCGACCCCTCCTTGGGTTTCTGAGGCAGTATCACTAGGGAGGTAGATTGCCCAACCCTCGGCTGGTGGGTTTGAACTGTCAGCCTTCTGGTTAGCAGTCAAATGCCTTAGGCACTATGTCACCAGAGGCAGATGAAAATCCTAAGGCTCGTCTCCACTGGACTTAAAATCTCTCTGCGGTGAGAACAGTTATTAACATTATTTCACCGGCGAGGAAACTACAGCTTATAGCGTCCACTAACTTTCCCATGGACTTTCAACTAAGCAGAATTTCTGCTGCATTCTCTGAACTACATTACACCCTCTCCCTATCATAAGAGCCCTCAGTTTCAATTCCATTTTTTGTAAAACTGAAACTGCTAAGGGCTCCTAGCTCACGGGCTACTGTGAAAATCCAATGCCATAATGTACATTAGGGCCCAGTACTCCGAAAGTGTGTGGGAAATAATGAGTGACCAGCAACTGTTGGTTCACCTTCTCTAGTCTTAGATTACCGGCTCAGGCTCTGACTCCAGTAATGACAGGTATTTTAAAGGGCTCACAATGTTCCAGTTAAATCCTAGAATAAACTACACAGACCTCTGAAAACATGTTCTGTGACCTTGTGAAAGCCACTCCACTTTTTTGGGCCTTTTTTGTCATTTGTAGGATATGGCTCTTAAAGTTTACCTGGAAGAGTTATCACAGGATTAAAGGAGAGAAGGAATGTGGAGTCGGCCCAGCGCCTGCTTTGTAACAAGTCTACCCAAGAGACTACCACTTCTCTCTGCTACCGTGACCCCCACCAGATGCGAGGCTTTCTGTTCTGAGGTAACTAAAATAAGAGAACTAAGAGGATTATTTCCTACAGCAACTGAAAATGAGAGACTGATGAAAGAACTTGGGCTGGTTAGTCCAGAGAAAAAAGTATTGATGTGGCCCAGCTATGAGGGTGCTGCTACACATTTGAAAGCAGGGCTTCTCTGGGATTAAGAGAGGCCCAAGTCACTTCCACTTTTTGTGTTTTCTGGTATACTAAGGGGGAAAAAAAGGGGGTGGGGAGCTCTGGTGGCTTAGTGCCTAAAGGCACTTGACTGCTAACCAGAAGGCTGGCGGTTCAAAGCCACCAGCCACTCCTTGGAAGGTTGGGCAATCTACTTCCGTAGAGATACTGCCTCAGAAACCCAAGGAGGGGGTCGCTATGAGTCGGGTCTGACTCGATGGCACACAACAACAGCAACAGTCATAGGGTAATTGCTAGACACATACATTTTTAAAAACCTTAACTCCCAGTGCATTGCAGGCAGTGTGGGCGGGTAATGGGACACTAACTTTTTTCAACCGCCTCAGGTCTCCTACCTGGAGAAAATGGTAACAGTTTGAGCTTGAGTTTTGGGTCTGAAAGTGCTCTCTCTCCCTCTTGTGTGTGCATGGCTCCTGCGGCGGCCAGGAAGAACCTGGATCAAGACCTGCGCGCGCACACACATACACACACTCTGACACGCACACAGAACCTGGATCAAGACCTGTGTGCGTGCACACACACACGTACACACACTCTGGCACGCACACAGAACCTGGATCAAGACCTGCGTGCACACACACGTACACACACTCTGACACACAGAACCTGGATCAAGACCTGCGTGCACACACACACGTACACACATTCTGACACACACAGAACCTGGATCAAGACCTGCGTGCACACACACGTACACACACTCTGACACACACACCACTGCCCCCATAAACTCTTTGGAAGGTGGGCTGGACCTTCTGCAAGCCGGAAAGGCCAGAGTAAGGCCCCGTAGTGGACACTGAGGGCAGCCCGTTTCCGCTTCAGCTGCGCCCCCAGGGCGCTGAGTAGTTTCATCCTGAGATGTTGGGGTGGGGAGGTAGGATAGTTGGCGAAGTAGTTATTCATATGGCACGTGAACAGATCATGTATGCGACTGGGGCAACGATTCTTGACTTTTGTGGGATCAAGGAGCTCTCAGAGGCAGCCTGGAGCCCTGCCTCGGCGGCTGGCTGGCTGCGCCAAGTGCACCGCTCCCAGGGCGGTGGTGATGCCCTCGGGCCCCACAGCCTCGGCCCCGGAGCAGCGCGGCAGGAGCGGGGCGGGGACAGGGAGGGGCGGCCCCAGCCCCACCTGCCGACCGCCCAATCGAGGGGAGAGGTCCAGGCACCCGCCCCAGGCGATGTGCCGGCGCGCTGCGCCCACTGCCCGGGGCTCCGAGCTGAGGACGCAGCCGCACGTCTTGACCCAGGTTCTGCGTGGCCGCCGCGGGAGCCATGAAGATGCACTTCTGTATCCCGGTGTCCCAGCAGCGGCCCGACGCGCTGGGGGGCCGCTACGTGGTGCGCAGGGACCCGGGCCGGCCGGACCGGGAGGGGGCCGGGGACAGTGTGGGAACCGGGGCTCTGCTGCTCCCTCCTTTAACCCGGGGCCGGGGCGTGTGTGTGTTTGCAGCTGTACTCTGTGTACCTGGAGGGGTCCCTCTTCTGCCGGGTGCGCTACAGCCAGCTGCATCGTTGGAATGAACAGGTGAGCGGGTCGGAGGCGGGACCGGCCGCCCACCGAGGCTCTGGCTGTGGGACTCCCGCAGCACACGCGATCTTCCGGAAAGCTCAAGCTCCTAATCTGTGAAACAGGTCGTGGTAAGGAGCCATAGTGAATTGCTTGGCGTGCAGCTCAATAAAGGCACGTGCCCACTTCCAAAGGTTCCTGGGTGGCGCAAATGGTTTGTGATAGGTTATTAACCCAAAGTTGGTAGTTCAAGCCACCCAGTGGGGCCACGGTAGAAAGGCCTGGGGATACGCTTCCGTGAAGATCACAGCCAAAAACAAAAAAAAAGAAGGAGTTTTACAGTTTTATTCTGTATCAAATCGGGTCGCCAAGAGTGGGGCTCAACTTGATGGCAACGGGTTTGGGTTTTCGTTTTGTTTCGGCCACTTCTAATCATCCACATCTGTGAGATCAGGGAGCGGGTGATTCCCCCAACCCCTCTCCAGCCCTGTGAACTCCACTAACGCCAGCTGAAGGGGCGCTGAAGGAGTGGTGGGCTCCATTTCAGTACCTGTGTTCCTAGGAGGCAGTGTACCCACTCAAAATGAGCAAACTCACTCCGGACCAAGGGGCCCTTTTCCCTGGTGTGGAGACTCAGAAATGGTGTATATTTACTCTCCTTTCTTTCCATTGTTTCTTAGGTTTACTTCCTTTTAAAAGATGTGTCAGTTTTTGTTTTCAAACGACCATATTCATAGGATTCAAGTCCTGGCAGGTTCAAAACCCAGGAAACGAGGACTTACCTAGACAGGAGGCCACTCTCTCTCTAGTTTCTCACTCTGCTGTCCCCACCGTGTTTTCTCTGGAGGCAACCTGATTTATTAGTCTGCTCTAATGGATTTTGTTGTTCTGATAGGGAGGTGTTGTAAGTCTTCCAAATGAGTTAGAGTAGTAAATGGAAGTTTGGAAATAAATTCACTCTCTCTCCTTCACCTCCATGAAAAGCTTCTTCTCTCCCCATCTCCCCCCACCCCTTCTCTTTCATTTTAAAATTCTATATAGTAGTTACAAAGACAGCACATATCTAAAGTTAACACACACACACACACACACACAAACTTAGCAATAGAAACTTATAGCGAAGACACAAAACATTTGTGCAAAGACAACACTGATTAACATTTTGGGGAGAGTTCTTTCTGACAGTCTGTAGGTTTCTAGTGAACAGATACTGCATCTTTTGTTGATGGACAACTTAATTTTTCTACTACAGATAGTCCCCAGCTTACCACAGGTTTCTGTTTCAATACTCCTGCATGAGTCGGTTCTGATGTAGGTGAAATAACTCCTTTTTTTCCCCTTAAGTTTTCATTATTATTGCCTTTTATTATGAGTACCTTTAGAAATCTGATCTTTATTTGCCTTTAAGGGTTGGAAATATTACACATAAACTTACAGATACATTTCAATATATACATGCATAAAAATACACAAATCTGGGAACACAGATCAAATCATAAAAATCTACTCTGACGATGAAGAAGAGTTGGGTGACGGTGGCATTCTGTCCACTGTGGTATTAGCTCCACTTGTGGAAGTTTCTGGAGCTGGATCCGGATTATCCCTGAGAAGGGAGGTGGTGTTTCTAGTCAGAAAATGAGTGAGAGGTGTCTGTGTGGTCCTTTTCTTTTTTTCTTCCTAGTAACGCCTCACTTCTTCTGGAATCTGCCTGTCAACTTTAAGTGACATCTTTGCTCTTTAACACTTTAAAGAGGTCTTTGGCAGCAAGTTTGCCCAATGTAATACATCATTAATTTCTTGACTGCTGCTTCCATGAACATTGGTTGTGGATCCAAGTAAAATTAATTCACTGGCAACTTCAGTTGTTTCTCTCTTTATCAAGATGTTGTCGGTTGGTCCAGTTGTGAGGATTTTTGTTTTCTTTATGTTGAGGTGTAATCCATACTGAAGGCTGTATAGTCTTTGATGTTTATTGGCAGGTGCTTCAAATCTCCTTCACCTTCAGGAAGGAGTAGTGTCATTGGGCTCTATGAATAGGAGACTTGACTCTTTGCAAATACTTTGCCAGCATCAGGTCATGACAATGCAGCAAGCCTGTGAAGCTTGCAAAGCCTCCAGAGGGAGGCGAGGGCTGTTTGAGATCATTTGCATGACTCAGTCCTCCTACTTGATGGTCTGTCTTCCCAGCCTGGTTCTTTCCCCCCTCTGACCTCATTGCCTCCTTTCCCACTCTAACTTCTGTTCCCTATTAGGCTAGCCTACTCGTTACCTCTGCCCTGCTCATGTCCCCTACCTGGGAAGATCCCTAATTTCTGACCCACTTGTCAGGGACTAGCCTTTTCTCAAGGCCTACCTCAAGCCCCACCTCCTCTGGGGACTTGCCCTTGATTGCACAAGATACTTTTCTCTGATTCTTGTCTTATTCCAGCTTGACATTTAGACCTTGTCATATTCCTCATTTTGCATGTACATTTTGTTTCCTCTGATTATTTAGAAGCAAAACCCAGATATTTAATGAAGGAATTGGTGAAGGCTCTGGGTATAGGATACTCAGCACAGAACTGAGTCACAGTAGAAGAAGATGATGATGATGTTAGGGATAGTGAACAGACTGAGTCTGAGCCCTGCCATCCATTAGCTGAAGAACACTGATGTAAGTCACTTCATGCTCCTGAGCCTCAGCTTACTCCTCTGTCAAGAAGGAAGGATGACCGCGTTAATGGTGATGGTGATGATGATTCACAAAGCTGTTTTGAGGAACAAGTGGGACCACACTGCTTTCAGCTGTGGCCCTTTCGCTGCTGAATCTGGATTTTTGCTTACAAGGGAACTTGGGGAGGTGGAATAAATGACTCAACATTGGAAAAAGAGACTTTTGAAAAAATACAGTTTGTGCCTTAATTCCACTTGTCCCAGTCATCCTTACTCTGGGAAGGGCATGAGGAGATTGTGCTGGGATTTTAAAAATACATATTATCTTATGGAAGGAAACTTTCTTTGTTGGTTACCAGGGGTGGGAGGGGAGGAAAAGGAGCACTGCAAAAAAAAATAAAAAGAAGTCACTGATCCCCCCCCCAAAAGAAAAAATATATATATATATAATCTGAATATTGTCATCCAAAACAAACAAATGAATAAATGGATCTTTTTAAACAGTCTTTCAAAAGAGAGATTGCACTAAACCCTGTTGTTCTCTCATGTTCTCTCTCTCGTCAAATCAATTCCAACTTACAGCTAAACCCTGTTGTTGTTATTATTAGGTACCATTGAGTCATATGACACAGTAGCATTGCTCCCTAGGGTTTCTTGGCTCTAATCTTCACAGGAGCAAGATTGCCATACCTTTTTCCCAAAGGGCCACTGGCTGGGTTTGAACTGCCAGCCTTTTTGTTGGCAGCATAGTGTGTAACCATTTATGCCACCAGGGCTCCTTGGCTATTCTCTGTGTGCAAAGAGTTCTGATAGCTAAACTATGTGCTGTCTGAAATTTACAGAATAGGTTCTATTTTGGAAGAGCTGGAAACCTTGTGGAGTTGATGATTGACTTTTGGCAAGCTTAGCTACTCTGTTTACTCTATGTTTATCTTCCTTCCTTAGACTAGTGTATAGAAAGGAGGGGAAAAATTCCTCGAGAAGTCACCTCGGGTGGTAAAACCTGTCGGGAGGGTTTTTGCTCATCGGGAGGGTTTTTGCTCGGTGATGGGTATCAGCACCGTAATCCTTGTTGGCATTCTCCCCAGCTCTGGCCTCAGGTAGGCTCTCTCCCCGGATGCTTTCCTGAAGCTGCACAACCCAGGCAGCCCTGCTGGCTGAGGCTGCTGTGATTAGAAGCAATTTGAGAGCATCTGCGACATTTATGAGCACATGCCAAGGAAGACAATTGCCTTTTAAAGATCACTTAATCAGTTAATGAAGAAATAATTGCATGCAAAGAAGATAAATTTCTGCTTCCATTTAATGACGTTAGCAGAGATGGGTGCATACAACCTAGGTTGTTTGAATAGTCCTGCCTGGGATACTTCAATGGGGATGCCTTTTGATAGTCTCTGGGACAGCAGGAAATTTTCCTTGAGTTTAAAAGACATAGAATTGCTGCTATAAAGTAGTTTATGCTGCCACATTTAGAGGAGCGTTTGCAAACTCAAATGGCTGCAAGGGTCAGGCAAACAATTTTAATGACTTTTCTTTAAGCCTTCTTGAGGAAAACCAAACCAAACCAAACTCAATCCTGTTGAGTCAATTCGACTCATAGTGACCCCTCCTTGGGTTTCCGAGGCGGTATCTCTACAGAAGTAGCCTGTCCAATCTTCCTTCTGAGGAGTGGCTGGTAGGTTTGAACTGCCAGCCTTCTGGTTAGCAGTCAAATGCCTTAGGCACTACGAAACCAGAGCTTTCTGGTGGTTTTCTTTTTCTTGTTTTAGGGGAATGATGCTGTACCTTGGCTTCAAGCTGCCACCATAAAGGCAGGACTGGAGTGAAGAAAGATGAACTTTTAGTTTTTCTTACTTAGAAATAATTTTTTGGTACTTCCACTATTTACTTACATAAAAATTATTACCATGATCTAGGGTGACATATGGGTGGGTGGTAGTGAAGAGTTTGACTGGGTTTCTTTTGGGATCATATGTAAGCTTTATAGGATCATATGTAATTCTGTAAAGATCAGTGCTGTCCAATAGAAATATAACATGAGCCACATATGTAATTAAAATTTTATGGTAGCTACATTAAAAAGCATTAAAAGAAACAAATGAATTTTAAGAATATATTTTTATTTAAACCAGTATGTCTAAAATATTAGCATTTCAACATGTAATCAATACGAAAATTATCAATGAAATAATTTCTGGACTAAGACTTCGAAAGCTCATGTGTATTTTGTACATGCAGTAGATCTCAATTTGGACTAGCCATGTTTCATGTGCAACTGTAGACATTTGTCTACTAAGTTCAGCTTTGGCAGAGGTAGAGTGGGTTGAGGAATTAAATTCCTAACTGTCATTGGGAATTTGTAGATACTATTGTGGTAAGAATGTAGGAAATATTGTATGACATGGGCCGTCTTATAAAACAAATGAAAAAAGGAATACAGACCAAATTTACCGGACTTAGACAGGAGTGATCAGCCCGTGAAATGTCTAATAGTATTTCTAGAAACAGATAAAGGTATCTTCTGCTTTTTAAAAGTTTGCTTTACGCCACTTCGCTTTTACAAAAGACCTGCATTAGAACCTGTTTTCACTAACCAACAGAGAAATCCAAAGAGGGTCATTGCTTTTACAAAAAAAGCAAAAAGTGAAAGTAGCGTTCAGCATTTGTTTTGCAGCAAGGCTTTAAAGAGGCAGCACGCGCCCTGAGGCAGCAGTGAGAGCAGTGTCCCCCAGCCCTTTCCCTAGGAACTGCACTCGGCATCGCAGCATCAAGCCAGTCTGTGAACACTAGATGCTAGTGCTATTTTACGTTTGCTTTGTTCTTTAGTATGGTTTGGTAGGTTATTTTTTGGATCTGGGAGTGCTCGAAATTTTTTCCCATATAAGTTAATGGAAATTGTTTCTTTGCTTTATGCCATTTCAGCTTACGAAAGATTTCATAGGAACGCTCTACTATCAGATAGTGACGGAAAGCTGTACTGTAATAAATTCCTCCTGAAGAAAATAAAATTATCCTCTTTTCCTCCTTTCAGCCACCAGGAAGGATTATTTTAAAATAAAGTATTGGAGTGGGACTTGCCTTAAGAGGAGGCTTTGGTATCTCAGCCAGCCTTGAATTGGAAGCTCACTCACCTAGCTGTATGTTTTCTGAATCTTTTAGCTGAGACGGGTCTTTGGAAATTGCCTGCCACCCTTTCCACCAAAGTACTATCTTGCAATGACCACGTCGATGGCTGATGAGCGGAGGAACCAGTTGGAACAATATTTGCAAAATCGTATGTATTTGGTGTTTTATTTTTTATAGTTTTTTGAGGTATGTTATGCATGATACAATTCACCTATTTGAATTATACAATTCAATGATTTTAGCATACTTACAGACTTATGCAGTCATCACCATAATCTGATTTTAGAACATGTTCATCTGTCAAAAGAAACCTCATACCTATATACCCATTAGCTAATCCCCTAGTTACCTCCCCCACCAGCTCCTGGTAACCACTACTTGACTTTCTGTTTCTATAGGTTAGGATATTTCACGTAAATGGAATCATACATTATGTGATCCTCATGTTTAGTTTTAAAAATATCTTATGTTCAGATTTGCCCTCTGGTGATGTATGTTGGCCTTGATTATTGGAGTCAAAGAAATGTTATCTGCTCCTTAGCCATGAGACCAGGTGAACCTTTGATCAAGGAATCAATAGATGAATCCTGATCAAGAGAGGGATAATGTGGAACAGAATGTCACATTTTTACATAATCCAGACTTATTGGACCTATTGATACTGGAGGAACCCCTGAATCTTTCACTCTGAAAAAATCTTCAAACCATGAACCAAAATTATCCCCTGGTCATCTTTAAACTAAGCATCTATTTCCCTAAACTAGTACAGAATATATATCGTGAGCATTTTGCTTTTTTAAAGAGTTATCTGTATGAAATCAAGTTGTCAACAGTAACTCTAAAGCATGGATGAGAAGTTTAAGGGGTTGTGAGTCTAAGTCAATGGTGGGTAGAGAATGGGAGCTCTATTGGTGAAATGCATAAGACATTTGACTGCTAACCAGAGGGCTGGCGGTTCAAACCCACCAGCCACTCCTCGCAAGGAAGGTTGGGCAATCTAGTTCCATAGTGATACCGCCTTGGAAACCCAAGGAGGGGTCGCTATGAGTCGGGTCTGA